GGACTAATGTGGTCGTATTTCCTGGTTCTAGTCAGGGCTAATGTGGTCGTACTTCCTGGTTCTAGTCAGGACTCGAGCTGCTGCATTTTGAATGTACTGCAGCTGTTTTACAGCCTGTTTGGACAGACCTGTGAGCAGGCTATTGCAGTAGTCTAACCTACTGGAGACAAATGCATGGATAAGAATCTCCAGGTCTGCTTTAGTAGTAAGTAGTAGTAAGTAATCTTTATTTATATACCGCCTTTTCACTGCAGATCTGAGTCTCAAAGCGGTTTACAATTGTTAATTTTTGGGCATTTGTCTCTCACTCCACACAGAGATGGGAGCGGGGTCGCCAGTACAGGAGGCGCATGCCAGAACTATTGGACATATTTTTAGTGGTAGGGGAAACCAGAGTACCCGGAGGAAACCTACGCAGACACGGGGAGAACATGCAAACTCCACTCAGAAAGGCCATGGTCCGACCGGGATTCGAACCCATGACCTTCTTGCTGAGAGGCGAGAGTGCTATCCACTCAGCCACCGTGCCGCCCCTTTAGACACTATGTTTTTAATTTTGGCTATGTTTCTTAGGTGGAAGTAAGCTGATGATGTCACAGATGATATGTGGCTATTGAAATGTAAGTCTGAGTCCATTATTACTCCTAGATTTCTGACCTGAGCTGAGGGTTTTAGGGAGAGAGACTGGAGGTGACAGATGATGCTCTCTCTTTGTTTCTGGGGTCCGAAAACAAAAATTTCAGTTTTTTCTGTGTTTAGCTGGAGAAAGTTATTTTGCATCCAATCACTGATCTGTTGGATACAGTGAAGGAGTGAGTCCACTGGTCCATGTTCTCCTGCAGTCAGTGAGACATAGATCTGAGTGTCGTCAGCATAATTGTGATACAGTAGGACACGTTATTACTGTGTATTAACCTACCCAGAGGCAGCATGTAAATATTAAACAGGAGAGGCCCCAGGATTGATCCCTGTGGCACTCCGCAGGTTAGGGCCAGATGGTCTGAGGTACAGTTTCCGATCTCCACAAAATATTTTCTGTCCCGTAGGCAGGACATAAACCAGCTTAGGGCTGTACCAGAAACACCAACCCAGTCCTCAAGTCTCTGAATGAGGATACTATGATCGACAGTGTCGAGCACTTAAGGCTATATCCACACGAAGACAAAACGCTTATAATTTCAGAAACTTTTTCTGTAAACACAGAGTTAGCTCAGTAAATGTGTGCGTCCATATGAATGTAGTCAATACGCCTGAAAACGCTGTGAAACTATGCCAGACCTGTTGGTGGCGCTGTGACGCAATGACGGGATCAAGCCCAAACTTCCGTGACGGGAACTGGGCATGCGCAGAATTTTGTAAACAGACAACATGGCGAGTGGGCGAGCTGGTACTACATTAGTATGGACGGACGATGAGGTGTAACTGTTGCTTCGGGTCGCACTGGATTACAAAACCAACAAGCTACATTGTTGTTGTCATTATTTTCTGAGTGCGGCGCATGCGTGCTTTAACAAGAGGCGGGGCGATGACGCAAGCGTCTCAGATACATTGCGGAGAGGCAGTAACCAAGGAGCGGCATATACGGAGTTTTGAAATCTTTCCACTCTGGGACCTACTTTCAAAAATGTTCGTTTACACCCCCCCAAAACGCCGGCCTCGTATGGACGATACACTGGATTGATAAAGTATTTTTGCGTTTAGGCCTGAGCTTGATTTCGTGTGGACAGGGCCTAAATCTAACAGGATAAGAACTGAGACTTTTCCTGCGTCAGTGTTAAGTCTGATGTCATTCGTTACCTTCACTAGAGCGGTCTCTGGGCTGTGGTGGGGTCTAAAACCAGACTGGAACATATCAAAAGAGTGATTGATTATTAAAAATTCTGTAAGTTGTTGATAGACAACTTTCTCTAGAATTTTACCCATGAAAGGCAGATTTGAAATGGGCCGATAACTTTTAAGTGCCAAGGCATCCAGACTCCTCTTTTTTAGGAGGGGTCTGATGACTGCCGTTTTCAGGGCCATTGGGAATGTTCCAGATTCAAGAGACATATTTACTATATGCGTGAGTGAAGGTAAAAGACTGCTCAGAACAGATTTAGGAAATCTAGGAGGTAATAATAATAACAGATTAATTATCAATATGAAAAAATCATGCTGTATTCTTTTCGGTACACATCACAAACTTCTCAATTCCCCCGACCTCCATATAGAGTTCAGTGATGGGTCAAAGATGCATAAAGCTGAATCCATTAAATATCTTGGTTTGTGGCTGGACCCAGAGCTTAATTTCAAACCCCATATTGATTACATCATTAAAAGAACATACGGCACCATGGGCCCCCTGTTTCGTTCATCCAACTGTTTCACCCAGGAAGTTAGAAAGAAAATAATAACACAACTAGTTCTACCCATCATAGATTATTCTGACACCATCTACCAAAACACATATGACTCATACCTCAAACCTTTAAATACAGTACACTCTTCAACTGTCTTTGCAGATTCATCCTTAAATGTCCTTATCGAACACATCACTGCACTTTATTTGAAAAACTGAACTGGTTGCAACCTAACCACAGACGTCACTTTCATTGGATGAAGTTCATTTTCAAATGTATTTATTTTAACTGTCCTCAATATTTAGAATTGTTTTTTGTCCCCAATTCACCAACCTTTTCACTAAGAAGCACGAACTCCCTCACCTTTTCTGTTCCAAGAATCCATAAAGAAGTTGGAAGTAGAGCTTTTTCATACAAGGCTCCATCTGATTGGAATAAGTTACCCACATAAGATCCTTAACCTCCTTTGGCTTATTTAAATTGGAATTATCTAGATATCTTACCATTCCTTGTGCATGTTACTAGCTGTTTATTTTATTTAATTTTTTATTATTATTATATATTTTTATTTTTATTTTGTAATATCTGGATGTATATTTTAAGTTGTATTATTCTATCACCCGCATTATGTATGGCCTGTATTTGACCATATTGTACACAGTAATTATGTATATGTTTGTTGAATGTGTTCTTATAGTAGGAGGTGGAGTTGGATCTGAGCAAACCTGTGTGTGTTAAATGTATAAATGTTAATTGTTTGTATGTACTGTATTATATGTATTGTGTTTGTTTGTTTTATGTTCATGGGACCCTCTCGAAAATGAGATGCTGCATCTCAAGGGGTTTTCCCTTAATAATAAATCTAATATAGCACCGCGGCACTGGAGCAGGAGAAGGGCTGGCACGACCACACACGGGAGACGGAAGTGCAGAGGTAAACAAAACACGCAACTCTAGGCTATTTATATGTTTATGCGCCCTCTGGTGGACACAAATATGGTGGCCAAGTCCAGCTTGCCACATTCAGGGTGCGTTCAGACCAAACGCGTTTTCTGCGGCAATATCGCGTCTGACGCGCGTCTTGGGACGCTTGTGACAAATTGTGGCAGACGCTGTCACAGAGCATCCACACGCGTCCAGGACACTAGAGGGCAGCGTTCTGGAGGCGCATCAAGGAAGAGCGTTTTGGGCCACGCCTGCTCTGTCACTCCCGTATTTGTCCCGGAAACCGGATTCGTCCGGAAGTTCAGTTTGCGCATGTCAAAAAGTTTAATATGTCCTTAAGTGGTGACTGGTTAAGTTTAGGCGTCTGATTAAGATGGTTAAGTTTAGGGTTAAGGCTGGGTTGGGGTTATTTTATGGGAATGGCTGGTTAAGTTTAGGCATGAATAGGTCGTTTTTTATATTTACTTCCGCTTCCGTCCAGATTCCGTGACGTAATCTACTGCTGCGTATGCTCATTGGATCAAACTGAACTTCCGGACGAATCCGGTTTCCGGGACGAATACGGGAGTGACAAACACAACTCGGAGAGGGAAGGACACGGGAGCCAGGATTAAGGTGAAAAGTGTAAAATACGCTTTAATTAGGACATAAAAGTTACTTCTAATAACATGTGAGGCGAGGAATACCCCCCTCTATTGTCATATCGGAGGTCTGTTTGGGGATCAAATAGAACATTGTCGGACTTTTCTCCAGTGCAGAGAGCGGGGGTCAGGTAGTGCTCAAGCCGAGAAAGAGCGTCTCAACGCGGGGACACATCAGTGGAGCTCTCACAAGCTTCAATCTGAGAATCCGAGGCTTTTGTTACGGACTTTCTCTGTTATAACAATTGTATTGGCAGTAATCATTCATTTTTACAAAGCCATATTGTATGTAAACAATGCACACGTATGCGATAAATGATTTATGATTGATTTATTTGCTCTGGCCTCGTTTGTGCATCACTTACATAAATGTAATAACGTGTGTTTTCTGATGAGAAAGGAATATCCATGGATCTATAATAATAATATCCATGGATCTATAATAATAATATCCATGGATCTATAATAATAATATCCATGGATCTATAAAATAACATACATGGATCTATAATAATAATATCCATGGATCTATAATAATAACATCCATGGATCTATAATAATAATATCCATGGATCTATAATAATAACATCCATGGATCTATAAAATAACATACATGGATCTATAATAATAACATCCATGGATCTATAATAATAATATCCATGGATCTATAATAATCTATAATAATAATAATAATATCCATGGATCTATAATAATAATAATAATATACATGGATCTATAATAATAATATCCATGGATCTATAATAATAATAACCATGGATCTATAATAATAATAGTAATATCCATGGATCTATAATAATAATATCCATGGATCTATAATAACATCCATGGATCTATAATAATAATATCCATGGATCTGTATTATAACGAACATCAGTAAAGAGACTGTCACTGATCAGATTAGAGTTGAATGTATTCCATTAGAACTTTAAGTACTGCTGACAAATATGTACCTGTGTAAATAATACCTTATTTTTCATCACTCTTTACACTTCAGACACAAAAAACTAAATTATAATAACACCAACAAGTTTTATTTTTTATTTCCAGGCTCTCTATGAAGGTGTCAGAGGCAGACGCCCAGGACTCTGCTGTTGCTCCTCCTGCTGCTCCTCGTCTTCTCCTCAGAAGACAAGCTGCTCCTCAGTGTCTGTTTCTCCTCAGTGTCTGTTTCTCCTCAGTGTCTGTTCCTCCTCAGTGTCTGTTTCTCCTCTGTTTCTCCTCAGTGTCTGTTCCTCCTCAGTGTCTGTTCCTCCTCAGTGTCTGTTTCTCCTCAGTGTCTGTTCCTCCTCAGTGTCTGTTTCTCCTCAGTGTCTGTTACTCCTCAGTGTCTGTTCCTCCTCAGTGTCTGTTCCTCCTCAGTGTCTGTTTCTCCTCAGTGTCTGTTACTCCTCAGTGTCTGTTCCTCCTCAGTGTCTGTTCCTCCTCAGTGTCTGTTTCTCCTCAGTGTCTGTTCCTCCTCAGTGTCTGTTCCTCCTCAGTGTCTGTTTCTCCTCAGTGTCTGTTCCTCCTCAGTGTCTGTTTCTCCTCAGTGTCTGTTCCTCCTCAGTGTCTGTTCCTCCTCAGTGTCTGTTCCTCCTCAGTGTCTGTTTCTCCTCAGTGTCTGTTCCTCCTCAGTGTCTGTTCCTCCTCAGTGTCTGTTCCTCCTCAGTGTCTGTTCCTCCTCAGTGTCTGTTTCTCCTCAGTGTCTGTTCCTCCTCAGTGTCTGTTCCTCCTCAGTGTCTGTTTCTCCTCAGTGTCTGTTTCTCCTCAGTGTCTGTTTCTCCTCAGTGTCTGTTTCTCCTCAGTGTCTGTTCCTCCTCAGTGTCTGTTTCTCCTCAGTGTCTGTTTCTCCTCAGTGTCTGTTCCTCCTCAGTGTCTGTTTCTCCTCAGTGTCTGTTCCTCCTCAGTGTCTGTTCCTCCTCAGTGTCTGTTCCTCCTCAGTGTCTGTTCCTCCTCAGTGTCTGTTCCTCCTCAGTGTCTGTTCCTCCTCAGTGTCTGTTCCTCCTCAGTGTCTGTTCCTCCTCAGTGTCTGTTTCTCCTCAGTGTCTGTTCCTCCTCCTCAGTGTCTGTTTCTCCTCAGTGTCTGTTCCTCCTCAGTGTCTGTTTCTCCTCAGTGTCTGTTCCTCCTCAGTGTCTGTTCCTCCTCAGTGTCTGTTCCTCCTCAGTGTCTGTTTCTCCTCAGTGTCTGTTCCTCCTCCTCAGTGTCTGTTTCTCCTCAGTGTCTGTTTCTCCTCAGTGTCTGTTTCTCCTCAGTGTCTGTTCCTCCTCAGTGTCTGTTACTCCTCAGTGTCTGTTCCTCCTCAGTGTCTGTTCCTCCTCAGTGTCTGTTCCTCCTCAGTGTCTGTTTCTCCTCAGTGTCTGTTCCTCCTCAGTGTCTGTTTCTCCTCAGTGTCTGTTCCTCCTCAGTGTCTGTTACTCCTCAGTGTCTGTTCCTCCTCAGTGTCTGTTCCTCCTCAGTGTCTGTTCCTCCTCAGTGTCTGTTTCTCCTCAGTGTCTGTTTCTCCTCAGTGTCTGTTCCTCCTCAGTGTCTGTTTCTCCTCAGTGTCTGTTACTCCTCAGTGTCTGTTCCTCCTGCTGTGTACCTCTAATATGAAATATATTTTATTTTCAGGTGTCCATGTTTTAACATGATGTTTGTTCTTTTTCAGAGACTTTTGGTGAAATGGAACTCAGACTTTCTCTGACAGCAACAAAATCACACGGCATCGTTTCTCCTGCTTCACCTCCATCACCTCCTGCTTCACCTCCATCACCTCCTGCTCCACCTCCATCACCTCCTGCTTCACCTCCGTCATCTCCTGCTTCACCTCCTTTACCTCCTGCTTCACCTCCATCACCTCCTGCTTCACCTCCATCACCTCCTGCCTCACCTCCATCACCTCCTGCTTGACCTCCATCACCTCCTGCTTCACCTCCATCACCTCCTGCTTCACCTCCTGCTTGACCTCCATCTTCACATCCTGCTTCACCTCCATCACCTCCTGCTTCACCTCCATCACCTCCTTCACCTCCTGCTTCACCTCCATCACCTACTGCTTCACCTCCTGCTTCACCTCCATCACCTCCTGCTTCACCTCCATCACCTCCTGCTTGACCTCCATCACCTCCTGCTTCACCTCCATCACCTCCTGCTTCACCTCCTTCACCTCCTGCTTGACCTCCATCTCCTCCTGCTTCACCTCCATCACCTCCTGCTTCACCTCCATCACCTCCTGCTTCACCTCCATCACCTCCTGCTTCACCTCCATCACCTCCTGCTTCCCCTCCTTCACCTCCTGCTTCACCTCCATCACCTACTGCTTCACCTCCTGCTTCACCTCCATCACCTCCTGCTTCACCTCCATCACCTCCTGCTTCACCTCCATCACCTCCTGCTTCACCTCCATCACCTCCTGCTTGACCTCCATCACCTCCTGCTTCACCTCCATCACCTCCTGCTTCACCTCCTGCTTGACCTCCATCTTCACATCCTGCTTCACCTCCATCACCTCCTTCACCTCCTGCTTCACCTCCATCACCTACTGCTTCACCTCCTGCTTCACCTCCATCACCTCCTGCTTCACCTCCATCACCTCCTGCTTCACCTCCATCACCTCCTGCTTGACCTCCATCACCTCCTGCTTCACCTCCATCACCTCCATCACCTCCTGCTTCACCTCCTGCTTGACCTCCATCTTCACATCCTGCTTCACCTTCATCACCTCCCTCACCTCCTGCTTCACCTCCATCACCTCCTGCTTGACCTCCATCACCTCCTGCTTGATCTTCATCACCTCCTGCTTGACCTACATCACCTCCTGCTTGACCTACATCACCTCCTGCTTCACCTCCATCACGTCCTGCTTCACCTCCTTCACCTCCTGCTTGACCTCCATCTCCTCCTGCTTCACCTCCATCTTCACATCCTGCTTCACCTCCATCACCTCCTGCTTCACCTCCTTCACCTCCTGCTTCACCTCCATCACCTACTGCTTCACCTCCTGCTTCACCTCCATCACCTCCTGCTTCACCTCCATCACCTCCTGCTTCACCTCCATCACCTCCTGCTTCACCTCCTGCTTGACCTCCATCTTCACATCCTGCTTCACCTCCATCACCTCCTGCTTCACCTCCATCACCTCCTTCACCTCCTGCTTCACCTCCATCACCTACTGCTTCACCTCCTGCTTGACCTACATCACCTCCTGCTTCACCTCCATCACCTCCTGCTTCACCTTCTTCACCTCCTGCTTGACCTCCATCTCCTCCTGCTTCACCTCCATCTTCACATCCTGCTTCACCTCCATCACCTCCTGCTTCACCTCCATCACCTACTGCTTCACCTCCTGCTTCACCTCCATCACCTCCTGCTTCACCTCCATCACCTCCTGCTTCAACTCCATCACCTCCTGCTTCACCTCCATCACCTCCAGCTTCACCTCCATCACCTCCTGCTTCACCTCCTGCTTCACCTGCTTCACCTCCTGTTTCACGTCCATCACCTCCTGCTTCACTGCGGATTAACAATATGAACTACAACAAACATATTTTCATGTTTTATTTAATCATCAGTCATGAATAGTTAGAACAGTGGGATCTGCATCTCTGAAGACGAGGAGCAGCAGCAGGAGCAACAGCAGAGTCCTGGGCGTCTGCCTCTGACACCTTCATAGAGAGCCTGGAAATAAAAAATAAAACTTGTTGGTGTTATTATAATTTAGTTTTTTGTGTCTGAAGTGTAAAGAGTGATGAAAAATAAGGTATTATTTACACAGGTACATACTGTATTTGTCAGCAGTACTTAAAGTTCTAATGGAATACATTCAACTCTAATCTGATCAGTGACAGTCTCTTTACTGATGTTCGTTATAATACAGATCCATGGATATTATTATTATAGATCCATGGATGTTATTATAGATCCATGGATATTATTATTATAGATCCATGGATATTATTATTATAGATCCATGGATATTCCTTTCTCATCAGAAAACACACGTTATTACATTTATGTAAGTGATGCACAAACGAGGCCAGAGCAAATAAATCAATCATAAATCATTTATCGCATACGTGTGCATTGTTTACATACAATATGGCTTTGTAAAAACGAATGATTACTGCCAATACAATTGTTATAACAGAGAAAGTCCGTAACAAAAGCCTCGGATTCTCAGATTGAAGCTTGTGAGAGCTCCACTGATCTGTCCCCGCGTTGAGACGCTCTTTCTCGGCTTGAGCACTACCTGACACCCGCTCTCTGCACTGGAGAAAAGTCCGACAATGTTCTATTTGATCCCCAAACAGACCTCCGATATGACAATAGAGGGGGGTATTCCTCGCCTCACATGTTATTAGAAGTAACTTTTATGTCCTAATTAAAGCGTATTTTACACTTTTCACCTTAATCCTGGCTCCCGTGTCCTTCCCTCTCCGAGTTGTGTTGGCAACAAAGCAGTAGTGTTGTATCGTTCGTGAACGATTCGTTCAAAATGAACTAATCTTTTATATGACTCGGGAGTAACGAGTCTTCTCAGGGAGCGATTCGTTCATTTTCATGCAGTACCTTCTCTCGCCACATGGCGGCAGCTGCATGAGCTCAGTCAGCAGCAGACAGGAAACAGAAATGATTCGTTCACCACTCACTCAGCTGGATCCATTCTCAGGTCCCAGTTCTTTAGTCACGTGACAGACAGGCTGTCTGTGAGCAGCAAGCACTGCAGTTCCTTCACGATTCGTTCATACGGATCCTGACGGATTGCTCTTTCGTTCATTCGTCACGTGACAGCTGTGGCTGGCTCAGACAGCTACGGGGCTGGGGGACTGTTGACTGAGAGCTGAACAAGGAAATGATTGATGTCTGATATCTACAGTTTATTTGTCATGTGACACCCGATATAGATTATTTATTCACGAAATCATAATTATAGTGGTCTTCAGTCCTTGTTGTGTTATTGTATAGCCTATATAATGAATGTGTTTGTAAATAAATACTTTAGAAAATTATATCAGCATATTTATTGTGTTATACTCTGCCACAAAATAATAAAACATAACAATGATAACAACAAACACAATAAAAATAACAATAATAGTAATAATAATAATGTCACTTTTTGGACACAATAAATGCACCATGTAAACATAGGCAACTCATCAACTATTATTTTTTGTTTTAATTGTATCATTAATTGTCAAAATTAGTTTTACATTCGCTGTCCTCTCCCCAGCTGTCATGTGATCGACTGCTCGGCCGAAAGGGTCTCTGTCTGCTTAGGCTGTGGAGCAGAGCAGTACTTGTTCTCGTTCAAATCGTTCATTTGTCACATGACTCGCGGGCTGACCGGGTCTTTCTCGTTCATCGTTCACAGCTCAGTACTTCGTTCTCGTTCGTCCAACTGGTTCCTTTGTCACATGACTCGCGGGCTGACCGGGTCTTTCTCGTTCATCGTTCATCGGTTCACAGCTCTGGCTCAGGCTGACACTGTGCGCCAGCAACATTGCTTCTCTCTGATTGGTCTGTTTTCACTGTCACGTGACAGTTACCCAGACTGCCGTGCTGTTAAACAATGATAACAGAGAGGATACAGGACACAAGTTACATTATTGTGGTGTGTGTTAGCTTTCCTGGGTTTTCAAATGGCTTGAATAGCTTATGGCATTTTGTGTGTTATACTTTGTCACCGTAAGCAAACCATCTTGTCTTCAGTATTTATAGTTGGAGAAAACACGTCGTCGGCATGAGTCCTGCATTGTGGGCCACTACAGCGCCATCTGCTGTACAAATGAACGAAATGATTCGTTCGGGACTCGTTCAATTTACTGTTCGAGAGTTAAAGAATCGAATCAGAGGAAAGAACCGGTTTTCCCATCACTACAAAGCAGACCTGCCTCAAAACGCTCTTATTTGACGCGCCTCCAGAACGCTGCCCTCTAGTGTCCTGGACGCGTGTGACGCGCCTCCAAGATGCTGTGACAGCGTCTGCCACAATTTGTCACAAGCGTCCCAAGACGCGCGTCAGACGCGATATTGCCGCAGAAAACATGTTTGGTCTGAACGCACCTTAACGCGCCGCGTGATCTCTTGACGCTCCTAGACGCGCGTCCCCCATGTTATGTCAATGTAAACCCGACGCTTTGGACGCTCAAGAGCGTTTGGTCTGAACGCACCTTTACGCGTACGTGCTGTACCGCGTCATGTGTAAATTAGCAGTCAGACCTGCCCTGTCAATGTCTCTCAGACCTCCATGTCCAGTCCATGTCCCTCAGACCTCCATGTCCTGTCCATGTCCCTCAGACCTCCATGTCCTGTCCATGTCCCTCAGACCTCCATGTCCTGTCCATGTCCCTCAGACCTCCATGTCCAGTCCATGTCCCTCAGACCTCCATGTCCTGTCCATGTCCCTCAGACCTCCATGTCCAGTCCATGTCCCTCAGACCTCCATGTCCAGTCCATGTCCCTCAGACCTCCATGTCCTGTCCATGTTCCTCAGACCTCCATGTCCAGTCCATGTCCCTCAGACCTCCATGTCCTGTCCATGTCCCTCAGACCTCCATGTCCTGTCCATGTCCCTCAGACCTCCATGTCCTGTCCATGTCCCTCAGACCTCCATGTCCTGTCCATGTCTTTCGGGACCAGAAAGGTTTTCAAATTTTGTTTAGGCAAGGCAAGTTTATTTGTATAGCACAATTCACATATATAAGAAAGCATTAAAATCATAAATAATCACGGAACATTAAAAAGAAAGATAAAAATATAAAATCCCTCAGTTGTATGCACAGCTAAACAGAATACGTCTTTAACCTGGTTTTAAACATTGTCATTGAGGAGGCCTGTCTCACATCTTCAGGAAGATTGTTCCAGATTTTAGCAGCATGAATCTGAAAAGCAGCCTCCCCATGTTTAGTTCTGACTCTGGGCACTAACAGGAGTCCAGTCCCTGTGCTCCTCAGAGTCCCAGCAGGAGTCCAGTCCCTGTGCTCCTCAGAGTCCCAGCAGGAGTCCAGTCCCTGTGCTCCTCAGAGTCCGGGCTGGTTCATATGGGACTAACATGTCACTAATATATTTTGGTGCGAGGCCATAGAGAGACTTGTAACAAGCAGAGCTGTTTTAAAGTCTATTCTCTGAGCCATTGCAGAGACCTGAGGACTGGACAGTTTCTTATTACAACTATTTTAAAAATGATTGACCAATTTCAAAAATCAACTATTTTAGTAAACAATCATTTACAACTTCATATCTAGACTCTGGTACTGTCACTATATTAAATAAATACTAATTATTTAAATAGTAGAAAACTAGAGCTAAAACAATATTCATTTACATATTATTACACAAGTTGACAGCCAAAAAAAGGTCAGGGGTTTCTCAACTGATTCAGACTAATGTTGGTGTTCTGAGTCTGAATATCACATGCATTTTGCTCTATCAGGTCAACTTTTTGAGATACAGCCATAGTGTTACGGATTATGTACGTCTACGTTATTATGAATTCTAATGGAGTAAATAAAAACGGAATGACTTTGGATACGTTGACTTTTATTTATTGAGGAAAACGGAAAAAACGTCAAGGGTTTCTCAGCTGATGATCCGCAGAAATTTGTTTTTTTACGCAAAATCGATTAAAAAAATATTTCTGTAGCAAAAAATCCTGACCTGATTGAGCAAAACCAAGGTCATCTTCAGACTCAGAGCATCAACATTAGTCTAATTCAGCTGGAAAACCCTGGACTATTTAAAAAAAAAATGTTTTGTTACCCAGTGTAATAAGTATGTTAGCAGGCCAGCCCACAGGTCTTTCCCCCGCGGTTTAAGGCCTGCTGGTTTCTGGGGTTGCACAGGTGACTAGCCTGACTCTCTCCTCTGAGTTTGCCCGTCTTCCCCCGTGGTTCAGATCTGAGATGAGACCCCTCTCTTCCTCCTTCTGCTGCCCGCGGCCTCCTCACATTTTGGGTTTGCCCTTGATGTTTCCGGCTCTTGGTATTTCGTCAGGTGGATTATTTGGTGGCCAGAAGTTGGCCCTCCAGGACAACGGTTTGGTGGATGGCAGCTGTAAATAATCTCCAGAGTGTAACTGAAAACCTCTAGACTTCAATTTCACAATTACCAATGTTAATGCAGGAACAATTATATAGTTTCCAAAAAGCACAGCAAGTGCAAAATGTATACAAAAATATAGAGCAGTCCGTGGGTCTGTAGGTTTTTATGGGAAGTAGCAAATGTAGCATATATGAATAGCTTATATTATAATTATTTAATCTCAGTATTGGACTAGGACCAGACGACAGGTGCGCGAACGGTTACGGTTTGGAAAATATGATGTTTGGTCGTGAAAAATACCTGCAGCTCTCTGGATTGGGGCTTCCCCACGACAACACGCCCACCGCTGAATGTCTGCAGGGACCGTGGGAACTCGGTCCAACTCTGGCTCAAGCACTACAACTACCACAAGACATTTTTTCTTCAGAGACGACATGGATAAAAATAGAGATGTGGAGAAAGGTAAAAATGACCCGGGTTACACAAGTCTTTACAAGTCAATAGGCACAAGTCCAAGTTAGAGTCATTGATGTTAAAGTCTAAGTCGAGTCTAAAGTCATCAAATTCATGACTGGAGTCTGACCCGAGTCCAAGTCACATGAGTAGAGTCCACACCTCTGGTTAAGACTGAAGTGTGATCCTGTAGAGTCTGACTCTGGGTTCACATGATGCAGCCTCAGCTCTGTCTCCTTCACTTTGTTCCAGATGCTGCGTCTCACAGGTTTTACTGTGTCTATGAAGAGATGAGCTTTGGGTAAAAGACTTTTCACACTTTTCACAGACAAATGGTTTCTCTCCAGTGTGGATCCTCTGATGATCTTTGAGATGACCACTGTGGGAAAAACTCTGATCACAAACGTCACAGCTGAAGGGTTTTTCTCCAGTGTGGATCCGATGGTGAACTGTGCGCTCGAATGCAGTTCTAAAAGCTTTACTGCAGAGGTCACATGCAAATGGTTTTTCTCCAGTGTGGATTCTCTCATGAATTTTGTAGCTTGAAAAGCGCCTAAACATCTTCCCACAGTCTCCACAGACGAATGGTTTTTCTCCAGTGTGGATTCTGTAGTGCTGAGTGAGGTCAAATAAACGTGTAAAAGTCTTTTCACACTGGTCACATTGGTGAGGTTTTTCTACTGTGTGGATATGCTGATGTAGTAAGAGGAAGTCTCTTCTCCTGAATGTTTTTCCACACTCGTCACACTGAAATGGTTTCTCTCCTGTGTGGATCTTCTGATGACCTCTAAGATTACCCTTTAGTGTAAAACTCTTACCACAAAAGTCACAGCTGAAAGGCTTTTCTCCAGTGTGGACTCTGCGGTGGAGCTTGAGATTATCTTTTGTAGTAAAACTTGTTCCACACAAATCACACATGTATGGTTTTTCTCCATTGTGGATTCTGCTGTGGCGCTTGAGTTTTTCTTTTGTAGTAAAACCTGTTCCACACAACTCACACACATATGATTTTTCTCTAGTGTGGATTTTGCTGTGGACATTGCTGTGGACCTTGAGAACTCCTTTTGTAGAAAAACCTATTCCACACAGATCACATTTGTATGGTTTTTCTCCTGTGTGAGTTCTGTAGTGTCTCTTTAGTTCAGCTGCAGATCTCCAGGTCTTTCCACACTGATCACATTGGTGAGGTCTCTCTCCTGTGTGGACACGCTGATGTAGTGAGAGGTAGTATTTGGTCCTAAATGTTTGTCCACACTCGTCACACTCAAATGGTTTCTCTCCTGTGTGGATACTCTGATGATCTTTGAGAGAATTCTCATGTCTAAAATTCTGACCACAAACGTCACAGTTGAAGGGTTTTTCTCCAGTGTGGATTCTGCTGTGGCGCTTGAGATCTCCTTTTGCAGCAAAACCTGTTCCACACTGATCACACACGTATGGTTTTTCTCCAGTGTGAGTTCTGTAGTGTCTCTTTAGATTAGAAGCACAGCTGCAGGTCTTTCCACACTGATCACAGGTGAACCCTGTTCTGTAGATGGACTTTGTAGACCTGCAAACAAAGAGTAAAGTATTGCATTACCGTTTCACTTTACCATTAGAGCTAACTTCCAAACGTAAATGTAATGAGTTTGCAAATGTTTTAAATGACAAGGTTCAATGCATCAAAAACGCCATTGTCTCCAATCCACAGATAACCATCCAACAGCCAGAAAGACTCTTTGAGCTAACTCACTTTGCACCTGTAGATGATAAAAATGTCCAAGAGATAATCTCCAGTCTGAGCTCCTCCACATGCAGCCTGGGTGTACTACTGACAGTAGATTTATATAACTTTAATGAATATTTAATACATTGTCTTTAAACTAACTCTGTTGTCAAAGTTTGCTGTGAATGCATGTTAAAGCTGCACTAACTGACTTTGGGATTTTGAAGCAGCAGACCCGCTGCCTCTCTCTTTCTGCTCCCCTGCCCGCACCCACGAAGCTATCGCCCCCCACACACACCCACTGTTGGGACGAAGCTAGCGTCTCCCAATATGGATAATACATGGACATGGATTTGCACGTGGATGGCGTGACCATAGAACGATAGAACCGGGAAGCGCGGAGGAACGAGACTTTCTTTTGGATGGCTGTCTTGCTGTGTAAGCAGTAACCGGTGACGAAGACGAGGAAGCTTCAGGTTAGCTCCTTGGCTTGTTGTGCTAACTCAGCCGTCTATGCTAACGGACCTGTAGATTTCTCACAAAAGTGGGGGCCAGTGGTCCGCGGTGATTGGTCACAATCCGCGACCCGAAACACATTCTCTTCCTTGTTTCATCAAAACTCGATCTAAAATATAATGTCACGCCAGCACAAATCTGCGCTACTTTTTCGTCAAAAGGACGTATATCCCAATGCCCTACACGGACATGGATAGCATTTTCGTAATGAATACAAAAATAAAGTCAGTTAGTGCAGCTTTAAGAGGTCACTGGGTGACTTACTATCTGTTGTCTTTAATGTTTGCGTTGTTAATTGATGTCCATATGTCACTAGTTTGGGTTGTGAAGTGACTTTTGGGTAGTCAGCGTGTGGAGAGACTGGAAACCCTTTTAGGCTAAAAACAAACTAATGTGTCAACAAACTAATGGTTTAGGCCATATGGGATCGTTGGAGTGATAATAATTTGACCATGATGTAAGTGTGTTTTTGTCTAACAAAGCGGAGTTCAGTGCACGCACGGTCACAGCACCAAGATCAGAGATGTGCCGTGACCATGCAGGTGCTCTTTACGTTACAAGTATAAATTAATCCTTGTCTGTTGTAGGTTTTTGTCTTGGAAAAAGTGTAGTTTTGAACTAGCCTTAACTACTACCCACTAGATTTCTAAAGTCTGTTCTGAGCAGAATGCTAGCTTCACTCACACAGATAGTAAATATGTGACAACAACAGGTGGCTGAGTGGATAGCACTCTCACTTCTCAGCAAGAAGATCCTGGGTTCGAATCCCGGTCAGACCGGGGCCTTTCTAAGTGGAATTGGCATGTTCTCCCCGTGTTATGCTGCGTTCAGACCAAACGCGTTTTTGGTCCGTTCACAGGTATAAGAGCTGAAACGATTAACTAATTAATTTATTATATTAATCTAATAAAACGAATAATTCGAATATTAAAAATCTTTGAGGACTTTAATCTGCCTAGAGTATTCCTATACGGTAGATTATTTGTGGCATTTTGCACGGATTCTTTTTGTGTTGCGCAACATGTTTGAGTCCCGTGCCCTGCTCTACACAGCCTCGGTCTGCATGGTCCGCATGCTTCACTGTTTGTAAAACTTTTTCGCGGTCTTTTGATCTCCATTGATCTTTTATATCAATGGAGGACGACGGTGAAGGCACTGGCAAAGACTGGAGAGTTAATAACAAGCGTCTGTGGGAACACTTCACTCTGAACACTGAACAGGAGTAGTTAGTAGTGATGGGTTGATGAAGCTTCATGAAGTGTTGAACCTTTTCATCCATTGGTTCGAGAAAAGGTTCATTTCTTGATGCTTCATATGCTCACAAACCTCCTGTTGGTCAAAATCTGTATTGACAATTGAACTGTTTGTGAGGCTCTTGCGCATAGGAATTAATACTGGTAACAGAAATAAAAATGTAATTTGATTGTGTGTTGATTAATGTGACCCATTAATTTATCTGTTTCATTATGATCAACACACACACACACACACACACACACACACACACACACACACACACACACACACACACACACACACACACACACACACACACACACACACACACACACACACACACACACACACACACACACACACACACACACACACACACATATATATTTATATACATATTTAATGATGAATGATTATAGCTTTTCAAGTCAAAATCAATGTTATAAATCCAATGGGACAACAAACATGTTGAAAGTGTAAGTGCTTTTCAAAGGACGTGACACAAATGGGGATATCATTTGGGATTTTGACCCCATCAGTTGTTTAAAACCAAAACATTTCTGACAAAATTCTTTCTCGTGTATTTACATCGACGCACTCCCGGTGAGATTCGAACCCCGGTCTCCCAGGTCCCAGCCCTGATTCCCTATCACAACCCTCTCCATCACTGACTAGATTAATCACCAAGACAAACACACAGTTTGAGCGGATCTTCTGCAGTACTTCATGAATCGCTCCATTTCCTGTGCTCCCGAGGCTTCAAACGTCATTAGTGACGTCACTCATCTAAAACAACTCAGGCTTCGGCCCGCGCTCCGATAAAAACTTCAGGGATTTCTCGGCTCACGCCCCGAAGCGCCGACGCGGCACGACCCATCACTAGTAGTTAGCACACAGTGCTAAGTGGAGCTAGCCTCTCATGACAACAACAGATGCTGCCGCAGCTGAGAGGGACAACGAGGGAAGACCGAGACGAGGCAAGTCAACTTTCATGTTATGGTGTAAAGTGCACGTTGTGAGAGTAAAATGATGATTATGAAATCACGGAGGGGTTTTCCCGTGAACAGTCACACACTGCCAAAGCGGAATGGTTAAACTATCAATGTAGCC